GAAGGAGGGAGGGAGGGAGGGAGGGAGGAAGGAAGGAAGGAAAATCAACTAGTTAGTAGTATAGCTGGGAATTTGGCCATTTCTGTTTGACCCCAAAGCCTGTCTTTTCCAGGACAACTTAATGCCACCCAGGCAGGGGAAGGGTCTGAGCAAAGATGTGGAGACTGGAAAGTGCATGTGGTTTTTCAAGTGGCAAAGTTTGGTTGAAATTTGAGCAGAGAGTAGAAGGAGATGTGGTTGGAGAGAGAGGTAGAAACCAGGTCATGGGGTCTCATATTTCAAACCAAGAACTGTGAGCGGCCTTCATCCTTTCAGTAGTAGAGTGTTTGAGCTGAGAGCATGGTCCAGAGCCAAGACCAGGCAGGGCTCCACGTCACCTGGCTGGCTTACAGAGCCGCCACTTGCAGCCGCCTCCCGTCGGAACTGACCGCTGGGGCACTTGACCAGCCTTTGGTGCCCTGCCACTTTTGTTCTTGAAGAATTCTTTTTAGGAAAATCTTTATGACTTGACAGGTGTTGGAGCTGAGAGAGCATCTGCCTTGGGGGTGGAGTGTGAGGGGGTGGGGGCATTGTCAGCAGAGAAGAGGCCTAGGGGAGGCAACCGCAGGGAAGGATGGACTGGAGAGGGATGAGGAGGTGGGTCTGACAGACGCCGGGTGCAGACTGGATGTGGGGAGCAGCGAAGGAGGCAGAGGTGAATAGGGAGTTGTGCCCTGTGTGTGTCAGTCTGCCTGCCACCCTGGGAACCTAGGCGTTTTGAGGGTCAGGGCCCCTTCCTCAGGGTCATGCCTCTGTCTTACTAAGGCTTGATCTTGCAGGTGATTGGAGTCCCTAGAAACAGCTGATCTTCCAAACAATGGCCATGTAGTCCTTTGTCTATGAATCGGTATAGCTTAATGTTGGAACCTGTTCACACTGAAACAGTGCCTTTCTCCACTGAGAAAGGTTAGGGTTAGCAATGACCCTAGCACAGCACTCACGACCATGAATACCCCTCTATGGCACGTCCTATTTGGACCTATGAGTGATTTGACCAGGTACCCAGAGGTCTGGGGGGCTGGGACTTGGAAGTCAGGGTCAGAACCAGAGAAGCTGATCACTGCCTAGATTTTCCCAGAGGCAGAGTGCCTGCACACACAGACAAAGGAACCAAAGATGGCTGCAGACCTCAGGAGAGGCGAATTGGGCTTTGACTGCAAGGTAGAGGTTCTGTTCTAACAGCAGCTGTCTTTGAAACTTTATTAGGAAGTGGATGATGAATGAACTTCAGATACTAAATGAATATATAAGACACTATTTAAAGGAGCTTCCTGCCTTTGATTCTGTAATTCTTCGTGTTGCTTTCTTTCTTTTAAAAAAAATAACTTAAAAAAGTACATTTTTATTGTGGATTTATTTATATCCCTTAAAGCATGTAAGGATATAAAGCAGTTAGTAACTCCCTTTCACTCCTGACTCTTCCCTGAGTTTGGCGTGTTTGCTTTTAAACACCTTCACAGTTTGTGTATGTCTGTGTGTGTATATACAGTTCTCTTATCTCTGTCTCACCAAATGGAATCACACTATCTTCCTGTCTTCTAACATGCCTTTTTAAATTTAAATTTTATTTATTTATTTATTTATTTACTTACTTACTTTACTTACTTACTTACTTGCTTGCTGTAAGCGTGGGCTTTTCACTGTTGTGGCCTCTCCTATTGTGGAGCACAGGCTCCAGACGCACAGGCTCAGCGGCATGACCCACGGGCCCAGCCGCTCCGCGGCATGTGGGATCTTCCCAGACCGGGGCAGGAACCCGTGTCCCCTGCATCGGCAGGTGGACTCTCAACCACTGCGCCACCAGGGAAGCCCTCTTTTAATTTTTTGTTTTTTTGATAGGTAAGTAGTGGATTTATTTAGAGAGAAACATACTCCACAGACAGAGTGTGGGCCATCTCAGAAAGCAAGAGAGGCCTAACCTGCCTTTTTTTTAAACTTACTATAGCATAGATATCCTTTCATGTTAAACCATAAATTTTTAACATCTTAGTGGCTACCAGTTCTATTGTTTGTATATATTATAATTTCTATAACTAAATCTTTTCTGCAGTCTGGTTTTACTGTTACACGCAGTGGACATCCTTATATAGTGCACTGCAGTCCTGTGTAGTTTAATATACTGAAGTCTTAGAATTTCTGTGTCCTAGGGAATGGCTTTTTAAACATTTTGATAATTGCCAGTTTTCCCTTGGGATAGGTTTTGCTGGCCTGTGCCTCACCAGGAGTTTGCTCCCAGCTTTGCCAGCAGGTCAGACTCTGTGGATGCCAGAAGATAGGCAGGCTTGGTCCCTTACACAGGACCTTGGTTGGTTGTGGTAGAACGGCTGATCATGTAATCAACTTCAACAGCTTCTTGCAGGAGCCAAAGTGAATGAATTAACCAAGCACCGCCAGACCGCCCTCCATCTTGCTGCCCAGCAGGACCTTCCCACCATTTGCTCAGTCCTCTTGGAGAATGGAGTGGACTTTGCTGCTGTGGATGAGAATGGAAATAATGGTAAATTCCAGTCATTCCCCGTGTGCAGTGCTGAGTGCCTCGAGCAGTCCCTCCCTTCTAGGGTTGGAGGAGCACTGCCCCCTTGGGTCTGCTCCCCTTCCCGGAGGTTGGCTCTTATAGGGGCAGTGCTGTGACAGGAAATGCTCTGAGCCAGGCATGCATCCTGCTCCTGACCAGGGCCTGAGCAACCTCCTGATGTGAGTGGTAACCCTAGAAGTCTAAATGGCTTCTTTTGAAACCATTGAATCTCATCTTTGGATAACGGCAGAGGCAGAAAGTGAATCTTAGGAGGTTGCATTTAGGACTCATTCTTGGGGATGGTGAAGCATGGAAAGGATGGTTCTGTGAGTGGACGGTGGCTGCTCTGGCCGAGTCCCATTTAGAGGGAGGTTTGTGAGGGTGAGGAAGAGTCGAGATTTTCTCTCTGTGCTTCTGGGCTTGCACTGTAAGAGGGTTTCCTCCCCAGCTCTTCATCTTGCTGTCATGCACAGCCGGCTCAACAACATCCGGGTCCTCCTGACAGAGTGCACCGTGGATGCTGAAGCCTTTAATCTACGGTGAGTGTGTGTGGTTCGGAGCAGAGGCCAGAGCTCCACGTCCCCTGGCCTGCCCCTCCGAGCTGGTGGTCACAGGCACCTTGTGTTAGCCCCAGGGGCATGCTGCAGAACTGTCCACTAGGGCCCTTGACCAGCCTTTAGTACGCCGGAAGTTTTCTTTCTGAAAATACTTTTTAGGAAAACTTTTATGATTATTGTGTCCTTTAGATTTATCCAGCATCACAGAGTTCTGAAAATCCCATTTCTCTTGTGCATGATGGCTGTGGCAGATATATCCCTAACTTTTCCAACTTGTTTTATCAGAGGCCAGTCGCCACTGCACATTTTGGGACAGTATGGCAAGGAGAACGCAGCAGCCATCTTTGATCTCTTCTTAGAGTGCATGCCTGAGTATCCTCTGGATAAACCAGATGCAGAAGGAAACACAGGTACGTAATAAGGTTTCTGTCTGTCCCGTCTCACTGGTGTTCCTTGCTTCCTAGAAAAATAAGAGCCCATGCCAAAAAACAAGGCACCCATGCCGTTACTTAAGGACGTTCAGCCCAGTGGGCTGGGCTCTGTGAGAACCTGTCACAGGTTCCTGACTTGGAATTTGGCAGTGTCTGATTTTAGGCACAAGCACATCTGAAGTGGGTCTAGTGCTCCAAAGCCATATCCACGTCCAGACAGGCCTGCCCACCTGTTTTTATTGCTCTTATCTACCTCATATCCAGTCAACTAGATCCCTACCCAAGCTTCCAAATCCCAAGAGAGAGAGGAAATACAAGCACCTCACAGGTGCTTCAGAAGGAGGAAATGTGCTACGGTGCGTATTGATGTGTTTTGAAAAAGTGGCGTGTTACATACAGATGAGGGCTGATGTCTAATTGAGGGGTTTAATAAACAGGCCTCTGTCATGGTGGTGCTCTAGCCACCCACAATCACTATGTTAATTTGTGTAGCTTTCATATTGTTTTTGATGGACTTCTGCATTCGTTTTCTTGTTGAATACTCGCAACAACCTTATAAGGTAAGCAGTGCGTATAGTGTGTCCCCATTTTTCAAGTAAGGAAACAAAGATGAAACCCAAATCTCTTTCTTCCTAGCCCAGGGCTCTCTGAGCTCTTTGCTGCTGCTGTATTCCCATTCATTCGCCATCATTGCCAGGCAGAACCTCGTGGCCTTTGGCAGCAATGCAGTCACCAAAGGGTGTCCCAAACCTTAGCATGGGACCAAATATTTTGTCATCAGTTCTTGGCCTTGGGAAGATTTCTTGGCCTTGATTCATGAACATGTTTTTTAAGCCAGCAGTGGTGAGCCTGAGCTTCAGGAGTCAGCCCTGGGAGTGAGCTGCTGGACCCAGAGCCTACTCCAGTGAGCACCATTGTCCAGGAGCAGGTGAACAGGCAGGCAGGCAGGTGCTTCATGCCCCGGTAGGGAGGGCCAGCAGGATGGCCTGGCCGGAGCCCGGGTGCCCACCAGGCCTGCACCTGCACAGGAGAGAGGCTCCACGGGGTAGAAGAACTTTCTGGCGCAGGTTTACCGCACTAATCTATTGTTTTCTCCATGTGTCACACCTCACGAGTCTTCAGGGTTAGTTACATCGTGTGGAAAGAGCTTTGTCCCCCACCCCCCAGTGTTTTATGCCAGAGGAAGGCAGCTGAAACAATGGTATACTTTCCCTTCAGTGTGTGATCCCTCCTCAGTTCTCTTGTGGCCAGAACTCTGAATGGGCAGGAGTGTGTCTCTCGAGCTGGAGCTGCTCTGGACCCCCTGGCTTGTGGCCGGGTCCTTGGCTGCAAGATGCTGCAGATCTTCTGTGGAGCTGTCACGAGAGCCCCAGGGCCCTTGTGTGTCAGTGGGGACTTTGCCAACACGTGTCCTGCCAGGGTTCTGTCCTGCCCTCGGCTGTGGGAAGTAACCCTGCCTGTGCTTTTGTTTCCCAGTGCTGCTCTTGGCATACATGAAAGGGAACGCCAACTTGTGCCGTGCCGTTGTCCGCTCGGGTGCTCGCCTGGGGGTGAACAACAACCAAGGGGTCAACATCTTCAACTACCAGGTTGCCACCAAGCAGCTGCTGTTTAGACTCTTAGGTGAGTGGCCCACTTTCTGCTCTTCCAGTGCAAGCACAGTGACAGCGTTGATTATCTGGATGTATTGGTGACCTTGAAATCTCATAATGACTTGCTTCACGATCTGAACCAGCAGTTTTCCAGGCACCATATGGTTTAGGACTTTGTGAATGCCATGCAGGGCCTTTGAGCAGCGGTGGGAGGGTCACTTTTGGAAATCTGGTTTATCGGGTGTCCCGCTTTGGGGCTCCCGTCAGTTTCCCGCGTCCCCGGATCCCACCAGAAACCTATCAGCTCCAGGCATTCCCCCTTCCCAGGGTTCCCGACTGCGTGTCTGCACACCCTTTGTCCTTCAGCCGGTGCCGCTTGTCTGCGTCCTTCAGAATTGCCTTCTGGTTCAGCCCCACTGACTCTTCCTCCTCTGTGTTCCTTTTGTGGCGAGGAGAGCTTCACGCTTGATGATGTCATATTGCAAGTCTTTACTTGTCCCCATTGAAGTAGCAGAAAGACTCAGAATGCCTCAGGTGCCGCTGTGCTGTCATCACCCACAGTGCAGGTGGAACGGGTGCCTAGCCCCATGGTATGTGCAGAGAGACGAGCTCAGACATACTAAGGAGCTGTGTGATCTTGATGTAGGTGACTTGCCCAAGGTCACAAAGCTGGTTTGTAGCAGAGCCAGCGCCAAGGCGTGGTGTTTCTGTACCTAGTCTACTCTCTGCCATGCTCTTGGTCGACCTTTTAGGAGCTCAGATCAGGAGCCCACACCATCTGCAGTGCTGGCATGTGGAAGGTGCTTGGTGACGATTGATTCCTCCCCGTGAGCTCAGTCTCCTCCTGTGCATGGAGCACTCAAAGCAGTGCCGGCATGTGGTTAGAGATGTGCTAGTGGTTGCTGCTGTCACCTACACTGGTAACTTCCAACCGAATGCCCCACGGCTCCCACAGACTCAAAACCGAACTCCTCTGCTGCTCTGCTTCTCTCTGATGCCTCTTCCCTGCCAGTGGTCCCGATGGATTCTGCCCCGTTCATTGCTCTTGTCTGGTCCCTCCGTCTCTGTTCCCCTTACCGTGGCGCCCCTGCCAGTCTTTGCAGCTGTTGGTCTGCTCTCTCCCTGCCATGCCATCCCTGACTGCATGTGTTTCCCCCACAGACACTGTGCTGTTTCACTGCCTTAAGACCGTTTCCTTCCTACCCAGTCTGCCTGGCAGACACTGGTTCTCCGTATTTTCCTGTGACACTTTCCCTGACCTACTTAGAATATAGACAGACCTCGGTCAGTTCCCGACCACCACAATAAAGTGAAAATTGCAATAAACTAAGTCACACAAGTTTTTTTGGCTTCCCAGCGCGTATAAAAGTTCTGTTTACATTGTACTGTAGTTTATTGCATGTGCAATGGCACTGTCTAAAAAGAGTGTATATACCTCAATTGAAACATACTTCATTGTTAAAAAATGCCAAAACAATTAAAATAGTAACATCAAAGGTCACTGATCACAGATCATCATAACAAATACAATACTAACGAAAAAGTTTGCAATTTTTGAGAATTACCAAAGTGTGACAGAGACATGAAGTAAGAAAATGCTGTTGGAAAAATGGCACCACTAGACTTGCTCAATGCAGGGTTGCCACAAACCTTCAATTTGTAAAAAGCACGATATCTGCAAAGCGCAATAAAAGGAAGCGTGCCTATATGTTGCTTTCTTATCCTTCACGTCCCTCTGCGACGTGTTGCTTTATTTACTGGGCCATTTCCCTGCTACTTCTGAGCCCCAGGTCTGGCTGGGCATAGTCGGTATCTGACAGGAACTAGTCTTGTGCTGTGTTGCAGATATGCTGTCCAAGGAGCCTCCGTGGTGTGACGGCTCCAATTGCTATGAGTGTACTGCCAAGTTTGGAGTCACAACTCGCAAACATCACTGGTAAGACTGTCCCCGCCCACCCCCCACCAATCACTTGCCAGAGGAATAAGGGGATTTCTGCTATACCATTGCTGCTGCCTTTTCCCATGGTAAACTATGAACTTGCCAGGGCCCTGTACTCTCCTGGGCAAAACTTGACCACATGGAGCAATGAGGTGACGGGACCCTGCACACTTCTAGTGATGTACGGAGGCCAGCGGGCACTCAGACTGATGGCTTTCCTGCTGAATGCCGGCCGGGGTTCACAGTGCTCGGTGGCCTGTCAGGCCTCCTGTCATCTTAGCCAGGCTTCCTGCTTGCAGTGAAGCTGAGTTGATCTCTGTGCTCCCAGGACGTGTGCTTCCCAGCCTGAGCACAGGCCACTCTCCTGAGAACTGAGGAGCTGTTCCCATTACAGTGAGACACTTCTTTGTCTCTTGCTGAGCCTTTCTTGAGCTTTAAAGAAAGAGGCTTCTCCAGGATGACTTTAACATAATTATTGGCTAGAATTTTGTTTTCATGGACTATAAATTATACATGCGTTGGTATGATTTGGCTGGCGAGGGGCAGAGCTGGCCTCAGAGTGCCAGGCGTGGGCTTGCTTGTCCAATGGGGCACTGCCATGCTGTGCTCGTGTGCCGGGCGGCAGTCTGCTCTCGAGAACCCCTCTCACACTTCCTTTCTTTGCTTCCCACAGTCGTCACTGCGGACGTCTTCTTTGCCATAAATGCTCGACCAAGGAGATTCCTATTATAAAGTTTGATCTGAACAAGCCTGTGCGAGTTTGCAACATTTGCTTTGATGTACTGACTTTGGGTGGGGTCTCTTAGTGAGCCCCCGGGAAGGTCCAGGCCACATCCTCGGTTGCCTCCCCAGCAGCTGCTCTGCTCACCAGCCTGACCCCCCCACCCCCCC